TAGAGTAATAAAAGAAGTTATGTTTCCTAAACGCCTTGTTGCCTCCTATTTATAAATATGACACACTTCACACTCATGAACAAACCTCTACTTGACGTGGCTTGTCAGACTCCTAGAACCTTTATAACTTGACTCTCTAAATACCAAGTTAGTCACAATCCAAAGTACACCGTAGAGGTGACATGACAAATCAGACCCCATGATGCCCTAAACAAGCCACTTGACATAAGAATGACACTATGCATATCAAATAAAGAGAATACAACATGAGAATGAGATAAGTCTCAAAACTCTTTCAACTCATAAGGAAAATATCATGAGAGCACATGACTAAAATAATGCGGAAATCAACTATGTCTGACAAAGCCTTCTACTAACAAAGATGTTGTTAGGAGAAACCCCTAAACCATGTACAAAGTGTGAAAACTGTAAGAGTAAAAACAATAAAGACATATGGCGGCAAGGTCCCTGAAACATCAGGACTCACCAAAGTCTGAAGTTGTTCAGCAATCCAACCTATCCTCGACTAATGGAAGAACGTCGGATCATATATTATGAAACAATATATGCATCAATACTTCGAATGTATCAAGTATGAGGAAATTGCATAAACGTCAATGTGGTAATACAACAAGTTCAAAACATAATAATGTGTGACCAAGTAAAACGTATTGAAACTTAACAAGCCAAAACAATAAATCACATAACAAGGTCAATGCAACATTTGAAAAGTAATAAGAAAGCTTAAATCAAATCATTGAGGAATTCATAAAAACTTTTAATAAAAACATAGTTCTTTTGTAGGATATTTTACCATTAACCGACATAAACCATGTGAGCTGTGACATGAAATCAGTGTCTTTCCCACAACGAAAAAAGATTGTCCTACTTGCCAAGGTAAGGACCATACATTCTAGCATAGGTGGATCCACTAGCTATGTCTTTCTAAGACAAATCCTATGGGGGCACGTAGTTAGGAACAAGGAAATTGCTTCTAGAGACCCGACCTCTACTAACAGTGGAAACTTCATTCCAAAGTCATCTCGGTGCCAAGTAAAATTCCAATAAAAATAAAAATACTCATAATCATATCATAATACTTGGAATAATATCAATCCAATCATAAATTCCATATCATAGAACAGCTGCTTTCAAAATCATGATTTCATAACTTGTTCATAAAGACACTTATCTAAGAATATAAACCGTAATCATCTTTCATTATGAGAAAATATTTCATAAATCATTTGATACTTTATCTAAGAACATATTTTATTCATAAATTACTCAATTTTATAATGTATGCATAATTTCGTAATCATAACATAGGCATATATCATGAGCCCATATAAAATCATTGAAAAACATGTAATTAAATTAAATCATGCATAATAAGATCAAATATAGATAACTGAATCATAATTAATTGATCTCATAAAGAATCACATGAATTCATAAAATGTTGGGTAGAATTCGAAGGAGAAATTGAGCTTCTTATGGGAATCAATGGATAGAAAGAATCCATTGATGAAGTTCCCATATATCTTGGGAAAAAAACCTTAAATTGCAAGAGGAAGAGATCATGGAGCTTGAAACCCTAGCTTTTCCTTGAGAGCCTTAAGAGAGAATTGAAGAAGATGAACTTGAGAGGATTTAACGATTCGAGTGATTTGGGAGGGAATGGGTAGATTTTAAGAGTATAAGTAGTTATAGGACTTATTTAGGGTCAAAATATAGGTGTATAAAGGATAAGAAAAAGACCCAAATTACCTTGATTAAAGACTGTCGAACAGTCTCTACAGACCGACCTACGGTTTATACAACTTCCTACGGACCGTACTAGTTGTCCGTAGAACCAATTATTAGGGATCTATATTATGAAAAAATTTCAATGGACCCTTCCTACGGGTCATCAAAACTTCTACAACCCATAGGGCCCACTCATAGAACCCAAAATCAAATCCAAGATTTTACTAAGTCTAAATCACTACACTTCATATGACCCGCACAATCTACTATGAACCATCATATTGGTTCGTAGGAAGTAATATGGGACTTGACATTTTTCAAAATTTCAAGAATTCTTCTACTACCCCTTTCTATGGACAGTTGAACTTCCTACGGACCGTAGACATGCGCGTAAAATTGGCACCAAATCAATTTTTCAACTTTTTCTTTCCATTTCAACACACAAATTTTCGAGGTGTTAAACAAGCTAAATCATGAAAAAAATAAAACACTTAGTACAATGTGGATTAAGATAGAAGAAGAGTGACTCCTTACCTAGGAAGAAAGAAATCAAAGAAGATGGAGAATGGTCAGGATCAACTCAACTTCGATCAATCTCAATCTGGATTTCTTTAACTCATTCACAGTAGCACAGAAGACCACCACCATAGGATGAAGTCAATGAGGACTAGCGAAGATGAAGAACAAGGAGGAGAAGAGAAAAAGTCAACCAAGTTTCTGAAGACCCTTCGAGAACATTCTAGACTTTCGTATCCTTATTGTATTTCCATATTTTCTAATATTTTTGAGATGGACCAATTTTGGTGCATTTCATTAATGTTTTAACCGAGAAGGGCCTAAAATATCTATTAACTATGTGAATTGGTACAAAATTATGCTTCATCTACCTCTCAGGATTACAATGCTCATGACATCAACCTTTTGGCTCTTTTTTACCCTTATTTTTAACAATTTTATATATAATCCTAATTCACAAATTCATTAAATGTTTCACTATCTAATTGGCTACACTAACACGCCTAAAGTAGATGGTCAAGACTTCATGAATGAAGTTGCTGCCATTAGAAGGATTCATCATGTCAATGTGGTTGGACTCGTGGGGTATAATGTTGAGGGAACAAAGCGTGCTCTTATATATGACTTCATTCCCAACGGATCAATCAACAAGTATGTCAGCACATGTCAAGAAGGAAGTCATATGTTAAGTTGGTAGAGGAAGTATGACATTATTCTTGGAGTGGCTTGAGGAATTTCATTCCAAAGATTTCTGAGTTTGGGCTTGCGAATTTATATCCAACAGGTAATAGCATTGTGAATCTTACTGTTGCTCGTGGAACGATTGGATATATTGCTCTAGAGTTGATCAACAGACGCATTGGAGCAATCTCTTACAAAGCTAATGTTTACAGCTTTGGGATGTTGCTAATGGAAATGTTGGACTTAAAGAAAAATGAAGATGAACATGAAGAGGATTCCGCCAATATTTTCCTTATTATATTTATGATAAGTTTAACAAGGGGAAGGATATTGTGGTGGGTAAAGAAGCAAATGATGATGAAAAGAAGATGGCTATAAAATTGAGTTTAGTTGCATTATGGTGCATACAAGCAAATCCGATACGACACCCTTCGATGAGTAGGGTATTATTAGAAATCCTTGAAGGTGAAGTTGAAGTGCTAGAAGTACCTCCTCAACCTATTCAATCTCAACCGATTGTTCATCTGATCATAGGAAGTTGTATGACATTTTTTTCTGATCCAATGGGTATTTTGTGGTCTTTTTAATTAGTTTGATTAATTGTTAGAATAGTGAATAGGATAGTGACACTGAAACAAACTCGATTCCCAACACAAATACTGATATATAATATTTCCTGGATACACATTACAACGTTTAATACACACAACAAAGCAATAACACACTAATTACGAATAGATCAACATAGAAGAAGGTAACTAGAAGGGGATGAGATACTAGAACAGAGAAAGGGGATGAGAGATAACTGAAAGCCAAAGCTTCGACATAATTTGCATAACCGTTCTTTCTAAGACCTAGACCTTTTTAAGAATAGCTAATTGGGCCTGGATCCCATATAAAACTCTCCAGCATATTACTCGGCCCAATAATTCCATATAAATCAGTCTCATTCAAAATTCCTAACACATAGGCCCGTACAAAGTCGACTTGATTCACAACAGACACGCCATTAATTATTTTATTAATTAAGGTTTTATATATAGAAACCATTAAAGATAAGGGTAAAAAAGAACCAAAATATTGATTTTAGAGACATTTTAGGCCCGATAGGTGGATGAAGGACAATTTATACCAATTTGTATAGCTAATGGGTATTTTAGGGCTTTTTTGGATGTTTTAATTGGTCCATTTCTTTTATGTTTAGAGTACTTTCTTTTGTTTCAATCTAAAATGGATCAGTGGATCCGACTTTGAACTAAAAATAAAAGTTTTTTAAAGGAGAAAGAGAAAGAGAAAGAGTTGAAAATTAAGGGGAAGGAATAATAATTTAGATAATGTAGAGGGAGTGAAGAAAAATTAGTTAGTGGGCAGTGTGGATAGGCGAAAGTGCTGAAGCTATAGAGTTGTAGAAAGAAGAAGTCTGGGATCGAGAAAATGATGGTTGACGTGGTGACTAGCAATAGCCAGCAGCAAATTCTGATGGGCGGCGGAGATACGACGAGCAGTGGAGGCGAGGAAAATTGTACAAACCCTTGTTCTGATGTGAAAACCCCTAAGAAACGTGCAGAGACATGGGTACAAGAAGAAACTCGAGTACTTATTGGTCTTCGTAGAGAAATTGACTCTCTTTTCAATACTTCAAAGTCTAATAAGCATTTGTGGGACCAAATTTCTATGAAGATGAGAGAAAAAGGCTTTGATAGGTCACCTACTATGTGTACTGATAAATGGAGAAATTTGTTGAAGGAATTCAAGAAAGCTAAACAAAATCAAGATAGAAATGGCTCTGCTAAGATGTCCTATTATAAGGAAATTGACGAGATTTTAAGAGACAGGACTAATACTGGTTATAAGAGCCCTCCTCCTCCCCCTCCCAAGGTTGATTCTTTTATGCACTTCGCTCAAAAAGAAGGTATCTTCTTCTTTTTAACTAATGCTCCAACCATCTTCTCGTATTTTCCTCTCAATTCAAATCTCTTCCACTTTATCCCACTTTATCCCAGGTCTTGATGATACAAGCATCACATTCGGACCCGTTGAAGGTAACACATCTAAGCTGTAGCATATCTCTTTAGACCATTACATTTTTTTTTACTATCTCTGTGGTTGTTCATTTCTTTACTTCCTACTGTGTTTTTGGATACTCTTCATGTTCAGCTGCTGCTTGCTTCATTATACCTCACTTCTATAAAGTTATCAAAATTAATTATATTTAAGGTGACCAGTTAGGTTGTGTGAAATAGAACCTAGTGGTCTGGCCCTTAACCAGATCCAACAATAGTGGTTGGAGTAATTTGAGATAAGCTCTCTTTGGTTGGATACACTATCCAATACTAGTTCATTTGTGGGGTACCAATATGTGATAATAGGAGGGATTAGTTTTTCAAGGAAAGGGTTAATGTAAATTTTAGAAAAAATGGAGATTGATAAAATATAAATTGTTTTTTTTAGATAATGGTATAAAGTCTGAAAAGGTTACACAAATTGGACTCGTCCAAATTACATGACAAAAGACTCTAGCAAGTCCATAAAATCTTAAAGATCAGTAGCAAAAGACCCACTGCTCCTAAAACAACAGATTCTGAATACATTTGAATTTTACAACAGCTGCAAAATCCTTCTTCCCATCAAAGCATCTTTAGATCTTTCCTAGCCATATAGTCCATGCTTAAGTTGCTCGGACTCGACTGCGGGTGTCCGATACGGGTGCGGATCTAAAGGTCGAATCGTTCATTATCAAATTTTTAAGTTTTGGGGATATGGATTCATGTATGGATACGGGTGCGGGGATTCACCTAAAAATAATTAGAATATCTAAAAATAGAGCTATAAAACCTATATTATGAGATATTCTGTGGAGAACTTGAGGAGAATCCTGGAAGGAGATCAAAGGAAAAGGAGTGACATAGAAATTTCTATATAAAAGGTATTTCATCTCTTCAATTTCACCTAAGCTTTTGTATTGATTACATAAATCATTAAAATTGTCCAGACTTTCCCCATCGATTTCGGTCGAAGTACCCAAAATCGGTTGACCAAATCGGACATGGATCCCACACCCTAAGTTGCTCAGTCTCGGGTGCGAGTGTCCGGTACGGGTGTGGCACCAAAAGTGAAGAGTTTGAGCAACTTAGGTCCATCCTATGCACAAGGTGACTCACTCCAAAGCCTCTTGGTCTCCTGTCAATCTCTTTGTTTGTCAAATATGGAGTAGCTATCAAAAGTTTGATGGCATTACCAAGTGAACTCCAAAAATGCATAAAATTATATATCAAATCTGCCATGAAATTGCTACAGTGAAGTAGCAAGTGATCTACTGATTCCCTAGCATTCTCATATAAAAAGCACTTGCTACAATGAATAAATCGTTTCTCCTGCAGCCGATCCTGCGATAAATACGCTCCGAGAGCAGCCAGCCATCCCAAACAAGCCACTTTCGCTGGTACTTTTGTCTTCCATATCATTTTCCATGGCCAATTTTTTTCATATTCCGCTGGAAGTTCTAAACTTTTAGCATCATGGCATGTCTGAACAGTTAATTCAGAGTGGTAGAACGAAAGCTCTACCATAGCTACCATGAAAATATAGCACAGCAGAAAAAGTTTATGGGAATGCGTGACTTCAATATTTCATGCTTCTATCTATTTATATAGACTTTAGACAGAGGATTTTACACTCAGGTTCTATGAAAGTCTATCTAATATCAAAGGCACCTTTCTCGAAGCATCATCCTGAAGTTCCCTCTGGATTTGGGGAACCCCATTCCGGTGGACTTTCTCCACTGGAAAACTCCATCTTCATCCTTTCTCTTCAAGCTTCTTTTCCTCCAACTGGAAGAGTCAATATAGGAGTGGTAGTAAGCAACTCCTTGAGCTTCCGTAAACTCAACTCACACTCCTTAGACCACTCAAATGGAACTTTTTTTCGCTCTTGATAACTTGATCCTCATGAACAGGATGGACAATAGAATCTATTTCTGGTTAGGGGGAAATTGTATGACATCCTGAGTCGAGATCAAAAGTGGAGACATGCTATGATTGGGTAGGAAGTTGCAGGTACCATATAAGAAGAACAATTTTTAGCAAGAGGGCTCTTATATGGATCTACAGAATAGGCTGATTTTTTTAACATTACCATTTTCAAAAGAAAAAAAAAAGAATAGGTTGATTTGGTTTATTTTATTTTTAGTTGGTGAATTGACTCATATTCTCTTTCCTAGTTCACTTAACCAGCGGTATTCTTGTCTTTTCACCGCGTAGAAACCCATTTCCTCTCCTCACCATCTCAAATGCATCGTCATATGTTTACTTCCTCTGCGATGCAGGTGCCAGAAGATTGATCTCTAGCAACTCACTTGGCTTCGCATGACTCTCAATAGCCCTTTTCCCCTGTCTCCCATCCTTCGCCCTTTCTTCCTCATCTCCTCACTGCCCTACTCCCTTGTGGACAAGCAAGAAATGTCAGACTTCAGGGTACAACTATATCCTAAACCCCAAGGCCCCATCTTCTGTCTTCAAGGAAGCTCAAAATTTCCCCCCTTTTCTCACCACAAGTCTCACCCTGGAGAGGTTGTGTAGACTGTGAACTGATTTTCTAAAAGGTATTTATGTCCAAAATGTTTGGAGATATGCATACAAGGTTTAAACTTCATTCTCGATTCTATGAGAATTTGTTAGCACCCCTTTAGTCTACCAACGGTTTACACATGGGAGATTTAAGGAAATTAGAAAGTAGATTACTTTAGCTTATAAGTTATTTTACTACAACTTTTAAGTATTCATGTTTTTATTTTCTGTGTAGCAGTTATTGCAGTAAGGAGGTTACTCCTCCACTTTCTCATTCAGTTGTAGTAGGCAGTAGGCAGTTACTTTCTTTGTTTCAGTGTTGTATTTAATGTATTTGAATTCAGTGAAAGGTTATGCAGAAAATTACTAAGTCTTTGAGTACTTCAAACTCAAAAGATTGCAGGTTCTCTCTTAACGAACCAGCATCATAGGTCGTAGGAAGAAAACATTCGATTTCACACTACAACGCCCCATAACTAGATCCATATTAGGGGACCATAACAACTTGGTATCAGAGACGAAGGTTATGGGAGATCAAATTCAACATCAACTGGCACAATTGGTGAACTTATTTCAAGAAGAACGTGCAGCCAATATAGCGAGACAGGAAGCAATAAATGCTCGCTTAGATGCACTCACAAAAGATCTAGCGAATTCGAAGGTTGATTCTGAATCAACTGATCATACCAGTCAGAATCGGGGCTGGAAGGGTAAAAGTGGAGTGGCAGAAGGGTCAAAATTAGATGCAGGAGGAAGTTCCTTCATTCCTAGGTATACAAAGTTGGATTTTCCATGGTTTACTGGCCAAGGGGACCCTTTGGGATGGTTGAACAGATGTGATCACTTTTTTCGACACCAACAGACTCCAGATGAAGAAAAAGTTGGTCTTGCTTCTTTTCATTTAGAGGGGAATGCACAACTTTGGTTTCTTCAACTAGAGACAGATCTGCCTGAACCGTCTTGGGATGAGTTTAAACGTTATTGTAACCTTCGTTTTGGGCCACCAATCAGAAGTCAGAAGTTAGGAGAATTGGCTAAGTTGCGCCAGATTGGGTCCGTGGCAGATTACCAAGAAAAGTTTGAGCAGGTAGTTTCCCGGGCTGGTACACTTACACAATCACAAAAGATAGAACTTTATATTAGTGGTCTTGTGGATTGTATAGCAATTGAGGTTGAGTTGCATAATCCTCTAGATTTGGCTACGGCGATGAGTTTATCCCGGCTTTATGAACGCAAGGGACAACCTTTTCGTTCGCAACTGTTAGATGGTCGCAGATCCAAAACATCAGATTTCTCACCTCCACAGCGCACTAGATTTGTAAGGAAATTGACTAGATCTGAGATGGATGAAAGAAGACTTAAGGGTCTCTGCTTCAACTGTGATGAAGTCTTCACTCGGGGCCATCTGTGCAAGAAATTATTCTGGATTGATTCCATAGACGAAGAGGAAGAATCTCTGGAACAGGAGACAAATCCTAATATAGATCAACCTGAAATTTCTTTGCAAGCCATCATTGGTGTCACAGCTCCACAAAATATGCGGTTACAAGGCCAACTGGCAGGGAATCCAGTGGTGTCATTAGTCGATTCTGGAAGTACTCATAGCTTTGTGAACTCTAAAATTGTGTCACAATTCAATCTTCAAGTTGAGAGGCGAGAAGGGCTACGAGTAGTGGTGGTAAATGGAGAACGGGTCAGAAGTCCGGGACAATGCGAAGGAGTTTCAATATGGTTTGGTAATCATGCTTTCCATATTGATTTATATGTCCTCAATCTAAGTGGATTTGATGTGGTTCTAGGTGTGAATTGGCTTAAAACTTTAGGACCCATACTGTGGGACTTTACAGATATGTGGATGTCATTCTTCAAAAATGGAAAACAAGTGGAGTTACAAGGTGTTAAGTCTCCTGATCCAACTCAAGGAGCAACAACTCATGTTATGCTGGCTGACAAAGATAATCAGGAAGAATTGCAAATCATTTTGAAAGATTTTGCTTGCCTCTTTAATGAACCAGTAGGGCTCCCTGCTAAACGTGATTGTGACCACAAAATTGTTCTGGAACCAGGAACAAAACCTGTTGTAGTTCGACCATATAGATATCCACATAATCAAAAGGATGAAATTGAAAGACAATGTTCAGAGATGTTGAAGCAGGGAATAATTCGGCCAAGTCAGTCTCCATTCTCTTCCCCGGTGCTTCTTGTTCCTAAATCTGATGGTTCTTGGCGTATGTGCATTGATTATCGTGAGTTGAATGCAAAAACAATCAAAGATAAATTTCCTATTCCAATAATTGAAGAATTGTTGGAGGAATTGTTTGGGGCTAAATATTTCTCTAAATTAGACTTACGCCAAGGTTATTATCAAGTTCGGATGAAAGAGGATGATGTGGAGAAAACTGGTTTTCGTACTCACCATGGGCATTTTGAGTTTTTGGTTATGCCCTTTGGTTTAACCAACGCTCCATCTACCTTTCAATCATTAGTGAAAGAGGTATTTCAGCTTCACTTGAGAAAATTTATTTTGGTGTTTTTTGATGATATTCTTGTGTATAGTCGCACTTGGGTCGAACATATGTATCATCTGCGACTTGTTTTCAAGTTACTCTCCGATCATCATCTTTTTCTGAAGCAATCAAAGTGTTCATTTGCCCAAACTGAAATTGCTTATTTGGGCCACCTCATCACTGCTGATGGAGTTTCTGCAGATTCCAGCAAAATTTCAGCCATGACTGAATGGTCCAAACCTACAACTCTTAAGGGGTTGCGAGGTTTCCTAGGCCTCACAGGATATTATCGCAAGTTTGTGGAAAATTATGGATCCATAGCTGAACCATTAACAGCCATGCTCCGCAAGAATTCATTTATATGGACAGATCAATCAACACAAGCTTTCAAAAAACTCAAGGTTGCTATGACAACTACACCTGTATTGGCACTTCCAGATTTTTCTCAACCTTTTGTTATTGAATGTGATGCTTCAGATCTGGGTATTGGGGCTGTTTTATTGCAGAATAAACAACCCATTGCTTTTTTTAGCAGAGTATTGGCAAGGAGACACCAGCCACTGCCCGCTTATGAAAAAGAATTGATAGGTCTAGTGAAAGCTATTCGGCAATGGCGTTCTTATTTATGGGGGCAACACTTCATAGTTCGTACTGATCACTACAGTTTGAAGTTTTTATTAGAACAAAAGGCACTAACTCCTCCGCAACAACATTGGTTGGCCAAGATTCTGGGTTACTCATTTTCGGTTGAATACAAGGCTGGTCGTTTAAACACTGTCGCTGATGCCTTATCTCGTCGAGATAATGATGAAGCTATGCTTCTTGCCATTTCCATGCCTCAATTAAGCCTTTTTGATGACATTAGAAATGAACAACAAAACTCTCCTGATGTCCAGCAGTTAATATCTGATGTCCATGATGGTACTGCATCAGATCAGTGGAGCGTCAAGAATGGGTTGCTTCTGTATAAACACCGAACATTCTTGGCATCAAACTCTCCTTCCATTCAGACAGTCATGACTGCCTTGCATAACCAGGGACATGAGGGGTACCAAAAATCACTTTTTCAGATTACAAGGGATTTCCAGCCTCAAATGCTTTCTCCCGTCCACCTTCTTCCTCTTTTAAGGATGTGTGCCACTTGTTCTTCACTCACGAACTGTAACAAGAACTGAATTTCACCCAACTTCGAGATCTTCAGGTCATCGATACCACTCCTAATATATGTGCCAAGTTGGAATTTGAATTGGGTTATGTATCACTAGTAGGAGATGTGGGCTTGGAAGGAACCACAATCTGACTGAGACTGTGCAGAGTGATAAGGCACAAGTTTAGATGAGTTTGGGGAGAGAAATGTGGACTCTTATTACCAAAATAAGAGAGGATAATTAAGGAGTAGAGTACTGCTTGATATATGGGAATGTGGTTGACAAAGAATGAAGTCTTTTGAGAATTACGTGACCTGTAGTTTGAAGAAGCAGGTGTTAGAGACAACATGGGTATGGAGGAGGAAGGGATGCGGATGAAGAGGTTTTCATTGGGCTCTGATACCATATAAAACTAGATCACAAGTGAAAGATAAGGTGGAAGCTCTGTAGTAGATCACAAACAAAAGATAAGATGAAAGCTCTTGTTTAATTGATTAAATTTGTGGTTAAAACAATTCTTTATAATACAAAAAATTGCAGGATACAAAATATACATCTGTGATGTCCTTCATGATAACCCGTTGGTTAGAGAGGAGCATGTTTTTCCATGTAATATAATATGGATACCAAAGGTGCCGAGGAAGGTGTGTTCTTTTTCTGGGCTAGCTGCTAGAGGGTTGATTTTGACAGTGGAAAATCTTAGAAAACGGAAGGTTGCTTGCGTTGGTTGGCATGTGTAAGAAGACGGGTGAGGACGTGGATCATCTTCTTCTCCATTGTGGGTTAACCATGAGGTTATGGTGTGATATGTTTAGGTGGTTTGACACTCCATAGGCAATGCCAAAATTGTGAAAGAGTGGAAGGAGGAGAAGACGAAGGACTTGGAATGTGGTACCACTTGTGTTAATGTGGGTTGTTTGGAGAGAGGAATAGGAAAGCTTTTGAAGGAGTTGAGTCGAGTTTCTCCCAATTGATGAGTAGTCTCCGTTCCCTTATTTCCTTTTGGTGTTCACATAAAGTTCCTTGTTGTATAGATAATTGGGTGGAGTTTGAAGAGAATCATATCATGCAGATTCTTTACATTTTGGTTTACCCCTTGTATACAACATTTAGTCCATGTTTCACAATGAAAATATATTTACCTGATAAAAAGAAAGAACAAAAAAGGATACAAAATATACATGGAATCTAAAGGATACTTATTTACGCATCCTTTTGAGTTGTAGGTGGACAGTGTTTCATTTTTGTATAACTTGACGATACCTTAGGTCCAAAACCTTAAGCTAATTTGTAATCCATGAATTTGGAAGTGGATCACCAGGTGATCTGTCAATCTTTTGCATATGTGCATCACTTGTTCGCCCTTTTAAAATGCATGATATCTTAGGTGCAACACGTTACCGTGGCGTTGTTCCTAATGCTTCAAAAACCGAATCATACTTCACCTTGAATAATCCTTTGTTTCTGTTAAAGACGTATCATATGGAATCGTGGAAGCAGCCATATCTTGAAGTCAGCAACACCTTGTCATCTTCTATTATTGAATTTATTTTGAGATAAGGGTAATTTCTATTATTGAATTTCTTTTCTTCCATTATGCTCTAATGTATATCCTCCATTACTTTCCCTCACAAAAGTTGCTTATGTCAGGTCAATCTGTTTGTCCATGGATTTAGATGTAAGTTAGACCAAAGTAAGTAATCAAAGAAGACTGCCTTCGGATTCTTAGCCATCTGCAAAAATGCCTAATTAAACCTATCAATGCCGATTAGAATGTAATCTAATTAAAAGAAAACCACTTCAACCTAAAAACGAGTCTCCCATCTGATTCAAGGAGGGTAAAACAATGATATTTTCCAACTTAATCATGAGCTCAGAATCCTTCACTGCAAGTTTCTAGTTTGGTTTCTAAAGAAATGCAAACTAAATTAAGCTTAAGATGATTGCCGCTTTGTTTTTCCTGAATATATGTCCTGTATTTCTGGTATTTATTGCACTTACTTTTTCATGCTATTTTTTTTTTTGTTGAATTGCAACTTACAATATGCAGTGGAATATACTTTTAAAATTTTTGATGTACAGAGAATGGGAGACCAACACTTAATTTAGAACGACGTCTGGATCATGATGGCCATCCTCTTGCCATAACAGCGGCAGATGCAGTCACCGCTAGTGGAGTTTCCCCTTGGAATTGGAGAGAGCCACCTGGAACCGGTTAGTCTGTGTTACAAATTAGTGTGGAAACATCCCCATGGTTTTGCTTTAGAGAAAAAAATCTCAAGAAGGAAAACAAAAGGAGTTTGAAGAATCTTCTCAAAAAAGATTAGAGCTGAAATAAACTATTTTGGCATATTTTTCTTGGTCGGGTCATTCAGACTAGTTCTTCCTACCTTGACTCTTCAATTTAAGAAGTGTAGAGCACACTGAGGGAACTATTCTAAGAACATCCCTCCTAAAACTCTTTTAGAAACCCAGTAACCAATACTTTTATGCTGTCTATATTCTATCATTCTCTGGATTTCGTTCAGATGGCAGCCTCTGGGTTTTGTTTAGATGCATTGCGGCTTTGTCAATTAATTTTAATTGGTACAAAGATTACCCTTTTGAGGCTTCTGACAAAAATTGCTTCTAGGGTTACAGTGTCAACTTGCGTAGATTTTTATTTTATTCTAATAACTATTCTACGTGTTTGCAGGTGAGCCGAGTCAGTCATATGAGGGACGAGTTATCTCAGTCAAGTGGGGAGATTACATCAAAAAAATTGGTATTGACGGCACTGCAGATGCGATCAAGGAAGCTATTAAATCTGCTTTTCGGTTAAGGACTAAGCGTGCATTTTGGTTGGAGGATGAAGATAATATTGTCAGAACACTTGACAGGGATATGCCACTGGGAAACTACACCTTGCATGTCGATGAAGGTAATGTCATGCAACAGTAAAATTATAACTAGCATTGTGATGAGGTTTTGGTAGTTGTGTTGATATCCATAACAAACTACAAAGTACTCGGGGCTGGTAAAGGGGCAAGGAACCTTTCCCTGAGCCTGCCCTGTCCCATCTCTACTGCCACCAGTTGGTTCATCAATTTAACAGTATCAGATTCTTCTATCTATCCACTATTTCTAACATCCCTTTGTCGTGCCTCGAAAAACTCCTGTTTTAAGACAATCCCATCTGCAATCAGCTAATTGAATGATCACAATCATATACATGGAAGTAAGAAATTTTATCAAGAAATTAAGAACAAGATAGGAGAAAGAGATAACACGAAATTAAGAACAACATAGGGAGAGAGAGAGAACAAGAAATTAGGAGGAAATGGATGATTTTAACAATTTCAGTTTGAAAATAAAACAAAACAATTCTAACAATAAAAATAGCTTTTAATCACATAAATGATTTCAAGGAAGATTTATAGGAAAATTCTTAAACACCCATCAAAAGGAGTAAAACTCTGAATCAGTATTTGTGGGATCTCTTGAATCATGCCTCAGCGTGTAAAGGAATTATTGGAGAGTTGGCAGCACCAGAGAACACACAAAGCTTTGAAGCAAATTTGGAGAACTATACCTTTGTACATATTCTGGACTATCTGGCTAGAAAGAAATAAAGCTTGTTTTGATGGGCCAAAAGACCATATTTCTTGAGTTAAAAACAAGTGTTTACATAATTAGTTTTGTTGGTGTAAAAATAGTTTCCTTGATAATATAGATCAATATATGGAGTTTTTGGAGCTGCTAGGGAGATGTCTTAATTGACTGTATGGATATTCCCATCAGTCTTTTGTAACTTTTTGTTTTGGTACCTTCTTGGTACTTAGTCAATTAACCTTTACCTTATCAAAAAACAAAAAACAAAAAACAAAAAACTCTGAATCATCCGAAAGCAAATATATCTCGTGTCTTACTATTTATAGTAACGCTAAACTAATTACATAAATGGCCATGGGTATGAATTGCAAATCTGGTGTTCTAGGCGCCTTCTTTGCAATCACGGCTAGGGGCTTGTGATCGCGCTTCTGAGCTCAATATCCCTCTCTGCAAAGGTGCTCCATGTTCCACATCATGGTCTTTGGCTAGATGAGAATATTTTTTCTCTATATATCTATCTATCTATCTATCTATCCATCCATATAAACCAAAATACTCAAAAAGGGGCTCTTCATGACCTTTCTGTGGTTCATCTACTTTGTCGCCAGCTGTCTGCCCACAACTCCGAAATGAAGCTAAAATGTAGCAAAAGGTGGTCAGTGTCCACTCCATGTTTTCTGCAAATAACTGCTTACAATACTTCATCTTTCTCCTTAAATTGTCTGATGTCAAAATGCATCCCACAATACGCACCATGTCAAAAACATCACCTATGTTAGATCTTTGTAACTCCATATTTATTTCCAGGACCGGTCTCACATCACCCTTGTGAATATAAAATTAAGGTGACAAAGTTATAAAGCATTGGACATATATAATATGGGCATTATTGACAGCGGTATGTCACTAAAGTAAATCTTTTGCATAGTAAACATTTGCCTATCTTGCTATTATGTATTCAGTTCTGTTATTCTTTTGTCCCCCCCTAACCCATTCTCATTCCCTTCATAAGAAGAAATAGAGAAACTAACCTGATTCCTGCTCGCAGGCCTGACGATAAAGATCTGCATGTATGATGAGGCAGATCACTTGCCTGTTCATACAGAGGATAAAACCTTTTACTCTGAGGATGATTTCCGTAACTTCTTATCACGCAGAGGTTGGTCATGTTTAAGAGAGTATAATGGGTATCGAAATGTTGATAGTATGGATGAGCTTTGCCCTGGTGCCGTCTATCGTGGTGTCAACTAAGGAGGATCAGTATGGCCTTGTCCATCATTGTGATATTTTGCTCAAAGCTCATTTAGATAGTCTAAGTTGTATAGATGGTTCCAGCTATACCTAATAGTAGCAAATGGGAGCTAGATGAAGTAGGGAAGGACATCGATGTACAGATTAGTTGCATCTTAGCTTTTGATTGCATGTAAATCTTTTCATATTTGATGTACTTCCAAATCCTGAAACCATTTCTCTGCTGTGGTTATGTAGTTAAAGATTTTCTAGTAATATGTGAACAGATTAGACAGAAATAGAGTGATTTTCAGTTTTAAGAAATTGAAAGCATTCGATTTAATTCAGATCCTTCAATCAGTACATACTTTCTACTTCTATTTCTCTACGCGTTATGCCTTGTTACCTTTTGCTTTACTTTACTAATACACATTTTTGGTTCTCAGAAACATATATTTGGTATTTCATATTTCTCTAGTTTAGGGTTTTCTTTTCTCCTTTTTTTTTTTTTTTGTCTTATTTGATGTTGAGATAAATAATTTTTCTCGAGTTGGACAAAAAAGAGCAAGAGCCATTCATTGAATACTAATGGAAATATGTTTCAAACTTCCCCAAAAATGTTATAGTGGATTTTAGCAAAATCTTACTTTATATTAATAAGAGAAATTCACATTTGTATGAGAAGAATTGTAATTTCTACTATTTTTCGTATAATATTTAATTTTATTATATTCATCTAGTCTAATTCAATTTAGCTTTAAAGATTAATTAAGTTGACTTTTGGAAAGTAAAACGTGACAAGTATTTGAAACTGAGGGAGTACAATTAGATTCTTTAATCTATTAATTATAATTGTACTATCATACTTTAAGAACCGACTGAATTTGTTAATAATGTCACAATGGGCATATGCAGATACATCTATCTATATCTATAGCTATATTACTTTGAAAGCATGAACTCCTAACTTGAATGTTAAATTATTATAATATTCCTATCTTAGGTTGTGACTTTTTTCGATGAGTTGTGACTTTTTCCGATAAGTTGTGATTTTTTTCAAAGGGTTGTGATTTTTCGATGAGTTGTGACTTTTTCAAAGAGTTGACTTTTTCAATAAGTTGTGACTTTTCCAAAGGATTGTGACTTTTCCAAAAGTTGTGACTTTTCAGATAAGACACAAAAAACACTTGTTCATACTACCTTTTGTTGACTATAAATAGAGGGGTTTCCTCTCATTTTTCAACAACAATTTTTTTTAATCATCTACTCTTCTTCTTCTTGCATTTTATAAATTTTGTGTGATTTATTATGGTTGAGTGAGTTCGAACTTTAGCAGAATATGAGGTACCACTATTCTGATGAAGTAAACCGTTCTATCCTAAGAGGGTATATTCCATAACCTCGAATACTTGGGGAAAATAATTTTGATGATATAATAAATATATTTTTGCTTAATATATAAATTAATATGTAATGCTCCAATATATGAAGTTAACATGATGTAGTCTAAATTCATTTATTTTTGTTAACAATTTCTCTTGTGATGTAGATATATGCTTTTGAATATCTTTTTCCAAAATTTAGAGATTGTCATGATTTGTTTTTTTGATGCTCAAGATAAAAAAAAAAGACTTTATATATCAATGATACTTATGTGATTTAGATTGTCAGGAAGTTTTGCTTTCAAAAATAGTTATTACTATATGAACATTTGTCCTTTTTGTTTTACTTATTTACTATTTCTTAATATTTCAGTATTTTAGACGAAGAAACGTTCATATGACTTGTAATAACGCAAGTTGAAGTTTGTATCAGTTTAATTTTTATTATTTATTTAATAGATAATTTTTATGAGATAAATATTTTCATTAATGCAAATAAAAAATATATTAAGGTAGGTATTTGTATTTAAATTGAAGTATTATATATGTCACTAATGTATTATCAAGTTAACAAGATCTTCAAACTTCAAAATATATTATTTTAAAATGTTCCGAGTTTTAAAAAAACGTAAAAAATGTGAAAATATGTGATTATATGAATCATTTAAAATTTATCGTTTATAAAATAAAATATTTAGTAATATGAAATAAACATTTACATTTTGTCCCTACACCAAATTAAAATCTAATAACTATAAAAAATAGTAAGATTAATTAAAAGTCCTATTTATTTATGTAAGTATAAAATTTGTTAGAAATTCAGCTATTGCACATTAATTCTTTAGTTATAACATTATAAATTCTCTTAGTTA